ACTCTTTCCTGCCTATGCAGGGGGTCGGACTCGATGATCTATTGAGGTCCCTTCCGACCCTAGCATCTATGAATCTTTGAATCTAGGGGCCCCGTGGGCCAGACAATGGCCTGGTGGGCTGCATCTGGCCCACAGGCCATATTTTGTCCACACCTGTGTTAACAGCTATTACACTAAGATGGTGTCATAAGCATGCATGCTGTAAAGGCCTTGCAGTACATCTTCAGATGGAGTACTGAGAATTTTTTTTAACCTAGACAAATTCCTACGTAGGAGGAAGTGATCAGCATTGGGACTATATGTTTAATGAAATTAATTATTCTTAACAGACTAATTCATAGTGTTTAAACTGCTTGTTGCCTACTTTTTTGGTAGTCTTTACAGTATGGTTTTATACCTATACTGAATAATGAACAAACCACAGAAAAAAATACCCTTCAGACTCCTACAGCATCATTTATCTGATGGTCTCTAAGTCTATGACAAACATCAGTTATGCCTAATAATTTACCTGAGAAGTAAGGAATGTATTTTCTCTAGGGGGAAAAAAAACAAGACAAGGAAAATACAGTACATGAAATCCATTTCTAGAATCCAGGAATCTTGATTCCCAGACCGTCACTTCAGCTTGTAGGAAAATCCGTACCTTTGTGGCAAAAAACAACAAAAAAAAGCCACAATGCTGAAAGATGGGGCATTTGTATAACGTTTATAGAAGATGCGTTTCTGTGAATTCCTCTACTAAGTAGGATTATGAAGGCTTAAATACAGCAGGAAGATTTTTTTAAAGGGTCATATCACCTACACAGTTACCTTCAGTGTTTAATTCTTCCTACATAGTTCAGTCAGCTGTGTTTCTCAAGAAATCAGTCTGAAATGCAAGGTCCGCACGCCCGGAAAGCTTTGTAACATTAATGCTGGACAAAGCGCTTAATTTCGAACTGATTAAAGGATCTTTATTTCCTCATCAAGACCTCAGTTCTGGTATCCTTATTCTCTGCAAGTAGGATGGACTTTACTCCACAAGCAACCTGAGGTAAGTTTGGAAGAACTGCAGCCCAAGTGAGCCAGGCTGAAATAATGATAGACTTCAGCCCAGAATGGCAGGTTTATCTACTCAGTCTGACAAAACAAAGGCCTTTTACTGTATACAGCAAATCAAAAACATTTGCACTTAGACATTCAAAAGACTTGTTTATATGCAACATGTCTTGGGAAACTGAACAAGTATATAATATTGTAAAATTACACTTTGGAGCAGTACACCTCCAAGTTAATAGCATTTAATTCCCTTTCACTTGAAATATTTGGAGTAGAGAAAAAGATCATTGCCAAGTCATAACTTGAAAATACAAATTGATCAACCTATATACTATAAAAGCCAAACTGCTATTGTGAATAGCATTCACCAACATACATTTTTGACACATATATTAGGTATTCAACAGCTGCTAAATGCTGACAATCCAAGATGGAATGTCTAAATATTTGCCAATGTTGTCTTCATGCTCTTGGCATCTGGGCATTTTTACATACATACTATCTAGGCATTTTTACTAGGGAACACATTCACAACCAATCCTTATTTTTCACACTACTTAACCAATTTGGTATACTCAAATTTCATTATCGTTTTTCATTTTTGTGAGTCTGAAGAACAGAGACCTGAGGAAAAGTAGTGCAGTACCCCCATGCTTGTCTAAGTCTATGCCAACCCTGCCATTGATCCAATAAAAGATATCACCCACACAAAGCCTTGCCTCTTGCATACTTCCTGGACCATCTCAACTACATTACTTCAGCACTGCCAAATTATGGTTTTCTATATCAGAGTGTGGAAACCTCAGGTAAGCAAAGGAACCATTTTAAGTACCCGGAGATTTTCTATTGACGACTAATACGGGTGATGTTACAGGTTCCCAAAACGATCAGTAAAGACCTCAGAGCTGCCAAGTTCAGCTAAACAGCTACCCGACAGTATTTATGCTTGGGGCCAGCAGATTTATCTGCTTTCTATGCCAACATGCAGACATTTGATTCCACACTGCCCTCAAACCTCTTCTGTAAATAGTGAGCAAAAAAAGCTGATGGGCAGTCTTCAGACAGCAAAAATGACAGAATAGGGATCTTTTCCTTCACTTTAGATGAGATTATTAGTAATCTAGAATGCAGCCTCTAACACCATACTAGGCTTTTCTAAAGCCTTTACTGAAAACAGCTACAGTGGTGAAGACTTGTGCGATTAATCTGTCACAATTCTTGGCTCCTTGGCACAAATGCTAAGGAAACAGTGATTTAACAGACTAAACAAGCAGCTTTTAAAATCTCTCTCATATTTTACTTATCACTGAATGAAAGTGGAAGCCATGAAGCTTGGTCAGTAGGGTGACTGGAAGGACCTGGGTACAATCCCAAGGGTGGCAGTAGATTTCCACTCATCATTTCCACTTCCAGCACAGTGCTGAGGCCCACCCAGTCTCCTATTCAATGGGTACCAGGAGCTACCTGACAGCAAAGTCAGCTAAAGTCTGATGCTAACTATATCATCTCCTCCTCATACTGAGGTTAAAGAAACAGTGGAGCCTTTTCTCTCAATGGGCCTCAATAGGAAACTTTTAACTTCACAGCAAGAAAGCACTAATATGAGGAATAGGAGTTGAAGGTTTATGAGATATGCTTACCTTCCAGCAGATCTCTTGCCAAGCCTGGTTCTGCCCCTGTGGATCGAACAAAGTCTGACAGGACTGCATCCATATCAAGAGTCATGTGATCATGTAGAAGTGCTGCCAGACATGCAGCAGTAGTAGAACTTATTGGTTGGCTAAAAGACATCCATCTATCAAGAAGACAAAATAAATAAATAAGTGTAATTAATTATTTTGGATATGTTTATCTCACTATGCTATAAATGATGGAAACTAAACATTTTTTTCCTCAAACAAAATCACCCAATTTATATTTGTCTAAAAAAATAAAACAAAACCACAAGGTCTAAGTTACAGTGAATCTATCAACAAGGTATGCTTATAAAAGTACTATACTATTGGCATTTACAATTCATCTCTGCCCTAGCCTGGCACAAACTGTGCCAACGAGCAACTGCTCTGGTAACCAACTCTAATCCTTCAAGTCTCTACAATTTTCTTTTCTTCAGTATTTGTTGGGGTTTTTTAAATTATTTTATTAAGTTTTTTTTAGCAGAAAAGCAATTGTAAAATAAAACCTCTTTAACCAGGAAGGTTATGTACACAGACAGACAAAAAGCCCAAGGCTGAACTGATTCAATTTCTGCATGTTAGTCTAAGCTGCACAGATTGAATTAAAAAGCAGTGAGCAGACATTCACTTTTGATTTTGGAAATGCAGCCACCTGCTTGCAGTGGCCCAGGCCAGAAGCTGGGGGTACCAGAGCACGCCTCCCTTCTCAGCTGAAGCAGACAGTTTGGGCCAAGGCTAGCTTGCCCACCCTGTGAGGGGGAGCTTGCGGGAGAGGTGCAAAGCATCCTGGGGTGCTGGGAACTGAGTTAAATTTGAATCTGGAGGGAATCAGGGACAGAATGCATATGATATTGCTATTTTCCTTGCCTTGACAATGTACTTGATGGGGAATCTGTGTTTTCTCTCTTCTGTATTGAACTAAAGTGGTCTTCCTGCTGTGGGCTCTGTAAATCATCATCATCGACTTGTTTTATTTCTTTTGTTTGAGAGGATGCGTCAACCAGCCTTCTAAAAAAATGCCAGAATGCATCCCATTTAACTACAGCAATGACGACAAGCACAACGAGAGGAATGACACCAAAGGCTACTCCTAATCCAACTCCCAGACTGTTGCCAAACATGCTACTACAAGGATGAAGGTACCTGTTTGTCCCAACTCCTCTATCCCTTGAGCTGACAACCAAGAAGGACCCACCCAGAACTCACAATGACAGTTTATGTCATTTTTACACACCCTTTGTAGCATCACAATCAATGACACATCTTATGGGACACAAGACTTGTCAGAACCATACAAAACACCACCTTTCACTTGGCATCATAATTTTTCCTCCCTGCATCCCAACATGATTAAGGGGCACTAAACACATTTTCAAGGTAACACTGTACTTGGCTTAAGGAAGCCATTCTTATCTGGCTGAACGTTATAAATACTTTCCTGATCTCCCAATTGGTAAGGAATATTTCAAATATAAATCTACGCACTGCAAGATTCTGCACATCATATCAACCACTTAAAAAAGTAGAATAGAATAGCTTGCATTTGCTCAATAAGTCCAATTATATTATGAATAAAGTCATTTTCAGCCAAACAATGAATTATACTATCCTGATATTTGTCATATTTGAAAGTACATCTAGTATATTCTCAGTATACTTGTACAGGGATTATTCCTGCT